GGGAAACCGGCCCAGCCAGGAACAAAAGGCCAGGGAGGGGGCTGTCGCCGGTGTGCTGGCGGCCGCGTTGGAGCCGCTGCCCGCTGGCGAGCGGGAAAGGCGAGGGCCCAGTGCCCCCTGGGCTCTTGGAATCGGATCCCGAGGCGCGTACTCTGCCGCCCATACCCACGGCCGCCACCCAAAGGCCTCACCCTCCACGTGGGTAGTTAATGCCTCGTGTTGAAAAACCTTGCACGGATAGCAAAGCTTTGTCCGAGTTATACTGAAACAGGATATTATAATAAATTATTGGCCACTCCGGTGGCCAAGTCCCACGTAACTTAAAGGGGTTTCACATTCACTGAGTATCAGGAGTAACCTGATCCTTACAACCAACATTTTTTCCCTCTCACAGTCTATAAAATCATGAATGGGTGGGAAAGGGTGATAAAGGAATAACTAACTTATAGGAACATGCTTTTAGTAGTGGTGGAAATTCTAACCATCTTGGCAATAAGGCAGAAGGATGGCTACACGTTCTTGCAAAGTCGAAATGGAACCTAGTCTTAACAGGCCTACTTGAGGGTGATCTCATTATTTAGGAGACTGTACTTGGCTTGACATATTGATGAAGTCCCAGACTCCATAGTTTTGACTAATCCGGATGCAAATTATTCATGATGGGGGAAAGAAAAATGTTCCTTAAAGTACTGGCTTTATTGCCCTGCTGTATATTAACTATGTTTGTATCTAACCTAGGAATCTTATGCCATTTTTTTCTTCGGTGTTTATACTCAGCTCCTCAATTTTGAGTGCACCTTATTGAGCTCCCACGTTTCTTATGAGTTAGTTGTCTTTGCCAGAGGCTTACTTTGTTTGAGTCCATGTTTAAAACTTTTGTAATCTGACAGAGGCTTCCATTTAGTACTATTAAAAGTTTAGGATTATGCTGTTCAAGACTGGAGAACATAGGCCATAGGCAGTACTCAAATAGATCATAGGACTCCAAGTAGTTTCCTTCCTCATTGTATTACCAAACTCAAGCCAAATTTGCCTGCCCTTGTGCCACAAGCCAAACTGCACACATGGAGTGTGATGAGGGAAAATGCAGCTTCATGGCAATAGTGGGAAGCTAATGCTGAAAAAGTGTGGTCTCCCTGAGGCTTCCCAAGCATGTATTTTTAATTGAAGGGCAAAATGAAGGGTGGGAGTCTCTGGCATGTGATCAGCTCAGTGATTGGTTGTAGAGGCCATAGTCATCTTAGATTTTCTTTGTAGCTGGGGTTTTAGGTAATCCATTTCCATCTTATGGATTTTATAGCCTGTAAAACAGGAAATATTCTGGAAATGGGAAAAGCATAACCAAAGTCTGAAGCCTCAAACCTTACTTTGAGCCATAAAAATGTAAATGGACCTTGTTCCAAGCATCTTAGAAAGATACTCTATTTTTAGCTCAGCTCTTTCTAATTTCAGTTTGGAAAATGTCCTTTTTTTGTTCAACAGAAGGAGAAACTGAGGATCCAGCCCTTTTAAAGGGATCTCTGCTCAATTTCAGTTGCTTCTGAAGGGTCAGATATTGACAAGAAGAAGCATGACAAAATGAAAATCTTGACCAAAAAAATAAATCTTGAAATTACAATTAAAGTCTTAATAAATTTCAGAGTTTAAAAATTGTTTTCGGGGACAGCAGGTGGCATGAGGTTAAGGCAGTTGGGTGCCATATAAATAAATTCAGTTTGAGTCATGGATCCAGCGGTTTGAAAATTATACTGGGCCTGTGCACATGCGTGCCCAGAATCCCAAGAGGTGAGTGGAGATGGAATTGCTCCAACCCATTAGGTGTGATTTCTCACTTTTTCTCTGTCTCCTGCAAGTGTACATGCCCTGTAGCATATACACATGCCCAACAACAATTTCAAAATTGTTACTGACGTTTTAATTGCAAAGGCTACTGGAATTATTTTGAAACTGAATTCATTTGGATATGACTATTACAAGATTATTTCTCCTGTCCCCTGCTTCTCTCCTACCACTTCTGTTTTATTTAGACTAAATAGAGGTTAACTAAGATTTTACTACATGATGGGGCAATCAGGATAGCCATAATTTTTTTATATATATAAATTTATGTCTATTCCTAACCCTTAATTTCTGAAAAAGTTAAGCTAAATTTAGGTTAAAATAAGTAGGGCGAAGTTTATATAATTAGATTAGGAAAGAGTATAGTTTTATTTGTTTGGGACACCAGAGATTGTGTTTGAATCATAAATAGTCAGGGAACCATGAATGATAGCGATAAGGATCATTTGGTGATTCAGGGGCCAAACCGGCTGGTATGAAACCAGTGGAAAGTAGAGGAAGGAAGAATAAGCCCTATGAAGTCTCCTACTTAGGGAAAGGTTGCCGGAAACTACGCAGAAGCAGAGATTTTTGTATTGTGCTTGGCACTCTAAGCGTGGTCACTTAGGTTTATAAAATCTAGCAAGAGTATTTGCTAACAGGAGTTTAACTTTGAAGTTGGTTATTTCATGTCGCTGTCATGTACTGTCTTTCCAAGAAAACTTTATTTATTTGTTTTATTTTTTGTTTAGTTTTTGCTGTAGGGCATGTGTACTCATCAGAGAGAGACAAAATGAAAAAGTACCCTCCAGGGGATGACCATGCTACAATCCCTTCTGCTCCACTCTTCTCTTGGAATTTTGGGCATACACTCACACATGCCTGGTGTGATTTTCAAACTGCCGGTGACATGAACTGTGAAATCAGCCATGTGGAATCCAGCCACCTTAACTTCCACTCCACCTGTTGGCCAAAAAACATAATTAAAAGAAAAATTGTCAGAGGGCATGTGTGTGAGAGAGAGGGAGATGACACCCTTTCAGTGGGATGTGATCACTCTCAGGATTTTGGGCACACATGCTCATGTGCTTGGCATGTTTTCAGCTGAGGCTGGGACTTGAACCATCCATGTAGATCTGGCTCCCTAGTCTATGGCATTAGCTTGCAAGAATTTTTAATCATTCCTTCTGAGTTTGAGAACTTAAAGTAGTTTCCTATCGCCCACTGTTTTAAATGGAATCTTCTGTGAGTTTTTTTTTTTTTTTTTTTTGGAGAGGTTTTTGCCATAGGGCGTGTGCGCTCGCTAGACAGACAGAGAGAGACAGAGAGACAGAAAGTGAGAAATCACCCCCCAGGTGAGATGGCCACGCCACAATCCCTTCTCCTCCATTCTCCTCTCGGGATCTTGGTCATGCATGCACACGCGCCCGGCGTGAGTTTTAAGCCACCAGGTCTGGGATACGAACTGCAGTCGACTACATGGGAATCCAGCGACATAGCCATTATGCTAACTACTGGTCCCATGAGTTTTAAGGCCATTTATAAACTGCTTTGTCTGCCCTTCAAGTTTTTTTCTGTATTCCTCAATCTATACTCTCTTTTACTTGTCCATCTCCTATCTCATTTCGACCTCTTTCTAGGTTCATTGCCACCCCTCCCAATTCCTTTTTCTATTTTATCCCCCCTTGCCTTTATTTTTATTGCCAGAGGACACATGTTCCTACCAGAGAGGAAAAGAGAGAGAGAGAGAGAAAGAGAAAGAAAACACCTGCAATGCCCTAACCACTGTGCAACCTGCTGGTCCCTGAATGTATTTTTTCAAGCCACTGAGCTGGTTTTTGAACCCTGGTCAGTCATGTGGGATCTGACTCTCTTAACCACTGCACTACAGAGTTGCTGTCTTTTCCTTTTTTAAAAAATTTTTTTTTTACTTTTATTTACTAATTTACTTATTTTATTTTGACCAGAGAGACACAGAGAGAGAGAGAGAGAGAGAGAAAGTGAGAAAGCAAGCCACCAGGTCCAGGACTTGAACCATGGTTGGCCATATGGGAATGTCCAGCGCCTTAACCACCACACCACCTGCTGGTTTTGATAATCTCTTATAATTCAAGGTTATAATTTGATAACCTCTTATGGATTAACTGAAATCTAACTCCTCCAGGCCACATATTTTGATTCCAGATTATATTAGGTAAAATTGCCATACTTAATGGCTGCATTACCTTGGGCAAGTTATTTACCCACTGTATGTCTCAATGTCCTCATCTGTAACAAAGGAAATTATAGTAACTTATCTTATAGGATTGCTCTGAGGATTGAAGTCAACTCAGTTCTTGGTACATAGTAAGGGCTCAATACACTGCTATTTTAATACATGCTAGTTCTTTAAACAATGGTTGTACAATTTATCACTGGGTTTTACTTTCTTTTATTCCCAAGTGTTTCCAGTTTGAATCTTTTCTTACAAATTTAATATAAAATGTTTTTTTTATTTATTTTTATTTTTTATTTTTTATCATCATATCTTCTTCATATTACATTGGATTACATATAACTTTACAGTGTAT